ACCATTCCGGCGGAGAAAGGTTTCAACTGGAGGGAGTTCAAGAAACATTTGACCAAGTGTGATGTGTCGAATATCGAGAGTTTGGTGGCAAGCACCGTTCGGCTTCCGCAGAGATGGAAAGCACTGTACGTTGTTTTGTGTTCCTTATGGGCAATTATATCATGAGGCTTGTGCTGTTTACAGACGTGATCACTGGAGTCGGTCGGGGCGTGTCCGCGGCACGTGGGTTTTTGCGCGGCGTCAGTCCCTTTTCCACCACTACTGTGCACCTGGGACAGGAGGTGGTGTAGTGACAAGTGGCGCGCTCACCACTCGCGCGGTCCTGGGTTCAAATCCCGGGTCGACTCCCGCCCAGGCCAACCAAGCCTTCTACCCTCCGGGGACGGTAATTGGTACCAGATTCGTCTGGGAGGATAAAACACTGACTTGTACATCGGCTGGCCCCCGCAAGTCATTGTATAGGCCACATCGCATTCAATAAGCCACTACGATTCTGAATGGAAGTAGAATGCGTGCCGCATCCCACAAAGGGATTGATCAACGGCGAAGACTTTATCCTTTTATTTACTGTGCACCCGAAGCCGCAACGATTGATGGAAAATGGGCCTGCGCTGCAGCAAAGGCCGCGCTACTGACACGCCCTGAGTGACCTCAGTGATAACGACTGCATATCATGAGGCTTGTACATTTCAACTTTTCAGTGCTGGAAAGTTCGTAGACAAGTCATTCAACCAGCCACAGGAAAGGAGCAGCACCGTATGTTCAGCGTTAAGGAATTCATAAGCTCGGTATGCTTCATAACTTTCTTTCTGCTTAGACCGTCTTCAGTCCTTAGTTTATTAAGCAAACAGGTAATGATCCTACTTTTCCATGATCGTACCTGATTCTTGGACCTCTGTGGATTCCACTTCCTCTACCCCTTAGAGGCCAACTTTCGCGCAGCACAGATATCAGCTGAAAGAGTAGTGCAAGTAATTCTGGGTGCTCCCAGAAGACGACCTGCAGATGGTGAGCATGCCGTGGAGGCGCGGCTCGATAGTTAGCTGCTTGGGGTTCTCCCGACGAATGGTGCTCTCATCAGTAGCCTCACCTTCAGCAGTGGGAGTTTTACTCACTGAGGACGGGCAGGTCAGGAGGGCGGGGTTTGCACGGCGCCAGCCTTTTCTACACCATTTTTGGAAGATTGCACGCGGCCACAGCTGGAAGGAAAGTGGCTGGCATCGCGTCATATTCAGCCCCTGACATCCGCAGCCAGCAAGACTGTATGTGACTGTCTGGGGTTGTGTTTATACCAGTGATGGTTACAGCCAAAACCAGTGACGATGTCAACCACTGGGAGAAGGACGTGACCAACATGTCCAGGAAACATCAAGCAGCTTGAGAAGTAGCTAAATGTGAAGACTGACTTTCCATCTTGATGGTTGCCCCCTCCTCCTCTCCTATGTCAAGCTCGCAAGCTTGTGCTCTCCATTACTAGAAGAGTTAAAACAATACTAAGCGATCGATATTAAATGAAAATGTTCCTTGACACTTGCACGTTCAGACTCATCGAATCACTTACCAGCAGATGGTCAGTATGTTGAGATGTGAATGTGTCCAAGTGGACGACGACTCCTTCGAGTATCTAGGCCACTCGCCCCCAGAAGGACTTCCATCAATTCCGTCAGGGGTGGTATGTTGTCTTTTTAATGGTATTAGACCCTTTTCTTCAAATAAAGTGCAAAATACTTGCAGAAATGCGTAGTTGTGGCTGTGATCGCATTAATAAAAGTTGTATGGAGAGGAAGTACGAAATGGACGATAAGTGGTTGTGCCGACAATGCGTGTACCAATCGGCGATCCATCAAATCCGTGTGGACTGCACACCCATCAACCTCCCGGTAATACATTTTTCGGTAGAAAAAAAAGCGTGAAGTGATAGGTTGTCCCATAAAATTTTTAGCTACTTATATTTATTTTTCTCTCTTTACCTATAAACCGTCTAAAGACAATGAGTTAATGGCGTTGGCGGATTTCGCTTATGTTGGCAGGGCCCGGGTATCTTTCATTATTAAATTTAGGATAACAGGAAGAAAGCAATATTCCTAAACTGCTCGAAAAATTGACTGCATCGGACCCGCGGACCGCGCACAAGTGTGTGGAAAGTCTAGGATCAAGTTAGGAACAAGAGAACCACGACGCGAAATCGCCTTCTTCCTAGAGCCTATGCCGTAGTGGCCCTGCTGCGTTGGCGCGTCTTGCAGGGGGAAGAGGGGGGGGGGTAATAATTAGTGTTCAAGCTCTTGACTTTACGATGGTTTTGCCCAATAGGGAGCGTGCAAGGAGGGGGGGGGTGAAAAGCGTCGCATTTCGCTACTTCTCGTCGAGCCCATTCTAGAGGAGCCGTTCATGAGCTTACAAGATAATTGGCGTTTGTTACAATAATGGCTCGACGAAGAACCTGGCTCCAGCTTCAGCAAGGGTTTCAACACGGTTCCCAGGTGACAGCTGTGAACCGAAACTAGTGCAGCGAAAGTGCAAAATGCCCCCACCATTTCGTTGCCGAACTGAACCGGGAAACTGTATACCTTGTGTAATCCTTAGCTTGTAATCTTGCATCGCAGACCTCTCTCTCTCTCTCTCTCTCTCTTCCTTCCTCGCTCCTCTCTCTCTGACGATGAAGCTGAGCTGAGCCTTCTAAACTTTCGCAAATGGCCACTTTCACCATTGTCACAGAAAACTTCTGATATTGTTCGCCAAAGAAGCGCCAGGTGGTATTGGTGACAAGTGGGTGCTTAAACACTGCGAACGGCGCCGTCGAATCCCCGGGTCGACACCCGCCCAGGCCTTCTACCCTCCGGGGACGGTAAATTGGTACCAGATTCGTCTGGGAGGATAAAACACTGACTTGTACATCGGCTGGCCACCGCAAGTCATTGTATAGGCCACATCGCATTCAATAAGCCACTACGATTCTGAATGGAAGTAGAATGCGTGCCGCATCCCACAAAGGGATTGATCAACGGCGAAGACTTTATCCTTTTATTGTTCCAAAACACTGGTGTCTGCTTGGTGGGGGTATTTTGCTGGTTCCCATCACTGTCGACACTTTCTGTGAAAACATGTAAATTACTGTAAAACTTTGCAATAGCAGGAACATCGTTCACACTAACAAGAGTCTTACACTTGTTATCGTGGTAAAACGTGTGTATTGAGAGAATCGCAACAGAAACGAGTCGAAAACGCAAATGCCACCAAATGTCCGAAGAAGCGGCCAAACATCAACTCGCGTTACAGCATCATAAAATATTTATCAATTTGTCGTTTCTTCAGTTTATCAACACTCCTGGCCGACTATCACCTTCCTACGATTGTGCTGGCCTTCCAGTTCTTCCTCTTCCACTGTTTCACTTCTCACACAAAGTATGTTCAAACCTCAGTGCTGGATTATTGAGTTTTGAGTTCTCTCTTTCAGTACACGGCTGTGAAGCTGATCAAACAAGCCATGGGCGACGTCCTCCGTGAATGTCCCGGCTGTGAGCAAACAGTCGAGGTCATCAGACCTAACGGTACTCATAAGAAAATCACGTATTATAGATAGTTTACAACGAATTGCACTAGTTCTTTCAGAGTACAACTGTGTGCAGTGCGAATGTGGAATTGTGTGGTGTATAGACTGCAAAAAGGAACCACACTGGCCAATGACCTGTGAGATTGCAGCCGAATGGAGAAGGCGATGGAAGCATCGCAGTGAGTTCACAGAAAATCCATCTTACTTCTGCGCAATTCATTTGGTCTATCTGATAAGTCCGTTGTCTGGGAGGAACAATGAGTGGGTGTGTTGATCTTGTCAGTATATGCCAGACGGATAAACGTGAGGGGTGAGGTTTGTGGGAACATTACGGCGTACATGAACCACCGCACTCCGCTTGGCCCCCATGGGGTAGAAAGACGGACAAGACAATCGTAGCTTGGCGCGCAGTCGCGCGCGGCGCATCGTGCGGCGTTCGCAGCGAATTCTTGATATGCATCGTTTTTCGAGCAGCAGCCAAGAGCAACAGTAACATGACCAAATGGTGATGATGGAGATAGGTGGGTCATACACAAACTCTCCCGCCCTCCCACACCTACTCACTAAAAGACCACCTAAAAGAGGGTGTCTCGGTACGACTCTCCTTCCTCAACACCTACTTGCCAATTCCCCACATTTTCCAGTTTTTCCACGCCAAAAATTTTCCGATGAGACTGGGGTGGAGGGAAGGGGATCTATACATCATAAAAGCAGGAAAAAATCACGAAAAATCAGACAACGCCAACGCAATAAAATTCCTGCATGGGTTAACGACCTCCCCCCCTTCTTTCAGCAATCGACCAAGTACGACTCCTCCCCCTTCCAACAGAAAAAAGTACGACCCTCGTGCTTCACATGAAAGATTGTACCGGTGATCGTGGCCCTGCCATAACCGGGAGATATCGATCTTTCCGTTCCGCTTAAACATCCAACTTTTAACGCGTGGCGACCAGGTCAACTCGATCTGTTGTTCAGGCGCCCATGTGCCGGACAGCGCCTCAATTCTCCACGATGCCGGTTACGTCATTGGCGTTTATTTCAATGGGCTCGTGCATTCCCCAGAAGCGTTAGGACCTTAACATTCTAACTCTATTACCTACAGAGCACGTCCTGCCGCTTTAAGCAAGCACAGTCTGCCGCTTCTGCGAGGATGTCGGTACTTTCAGGGGCTGGGGCTTGGCGGCGGCGAATGAGCTCTTTATTCGTTCCAAGGTGGTCTGCACAAGCCTTCCTCTGGACTCTCTAATTTGGGGCCCCCACCCAGGAGCTAATTCGCGTTGAATTCCGCTATGAGTCGACTACCGTGTAATCCATGTAATGACCATCAGCATACAGCGAGGTCCATGAGCAGACATCTCCATCGTATTTTTCGTGATATACCAGAGGCAAGAATGCATGGGCCTTTGCGAAACTGTCGTCTACCTCCTTATAAGGCCAGGCAGTGCGGACAGCCGCCTTTGCCCCATAGTGAATGTCCTTCACCAAATAGATCAGGTATTCGGGAACATTACGTTTCCAGAGCACAGGTCGCGTTAGAAAATTGAAGGCATTCTTATGAAATGAGAGGCATTTATACATTATTTGCCCAATTGAGGTGATCGGTCGGTGTAGTCCTTAGCTCGCTTCAGACCAGTGAAAGTTTCCATAGTTTATAATCCTCGATGGCTACTAGATCCCTTCCAGTGTTCTGTCCACCCTGGGTTGGTAGTTCCCGCGTGCGTCAACTCTCTGCATTGAAACTTTCCTTGGGCTTTCCTTTCCTTTTCTCTGTCGAAAGAAAAACATGAAGGAAACTAACTGATTTGTTCAGGACAGGCGACGACCGTCGATCTCAAGAGACGAACGGCAAATAAAATATGTCAAGTGTTCGGCCTCCAATAATGTGGTGAGACTGTTCATTAGTTTTTTGATACCGCCGCCACTACTAGAAATGAGGTTCCATCAAAAACACTGCACACCCGATTGTATATTTTGGCATGGTGGCGCTCACTTACAAACCTATGTCCGCTGAAGACGCGCTCCAGTGGAAAATACCGCGGAAAAAACGCCGGTCAAACACCTTAAAGCAAGTTGGCACGATAAATTCGCTCAAAGAGAGTAGAATTAATGCACCTAGCAGGACGGAATCCAACGACCCACAGGCGCTGCCATATTGCGTTTCAAAAGGAAGGTTGTCCTTATAGGGCCCATCAAGCGCACACCATCGACCACAAACGCCGCCGGCACGCCTCCCGCCACACGAATGGCTACCGTTCCTGAAGGCGCTAATCGGATTCATGCTGAAGCAAAACTATTAAGCGAAAGGATTGGATGAAAGTGGCCGGTTGATGCTGCATGTATAATGGAGTAAAACATATGCAGGACTCGGTAGCAGTGATTGTACGATTCCTACGGGAAACTCGTTCAAAATTGGTTGTCTTTCTTCGCAGGATTTTGACCGTTTCACTCCGTTCTTTCGCCATTTCCCAACCATATAGCGCCTAATTAGCATTTTAGGCCGAGCACCAAATCATCGTGCCAAACTGCCTGTTAGAGGGTAAAGGTTGCAAGCTTCCTGGACGGCTTTCCGGTATTTCTTGTATATGCCATCGATATCGATCAACATCGCACACGGGTCAGCCGAAGCTCACGCGAAGTATCGCGAGGAGTATAAAGATGCCGCTAGTCTCACTGTTTAAGTCGACTTAAGAAAGCCTTGACTCGTTGAGACAGAGGCGGGTTTAAGCGAAGCGCCTGGGCAACCAGGGTATTCCTACCACGTTAGACATCAAGATTCTTCGTGAGCTCTACAGCAACTTCACGACCAAGATTTCACCATTCTACAAGGAGATCATCATTGATGTGAAGAGAGGGGTCCGACAGGGCGACACCATCTCGCCCAAGCTCTTCAGCGCCTCTCTCGAGAACGTCATGCGTCAACTGGAATGGGAAGACATGGGAGTGAAGATCGACGGTCGGCAACTACACCATCTCCGCTTTGCTGACGACATCGTTTTGATAACGCCAAACATCGAGCAAGCGGAACGAATGCTGGCTGAATTCGACTGCGCGTGTGGAAAATCGGTCTACGGCTGAACCTACGAGCCGAACATTCATGGAGAAACGCGATTTGGTATTGACTGCCGAGCCATCACGCTCAACGGAACGACCATCTCTGAATGCTCCTACGTCTATGGTGTACTAGGATCAGTGAAACAATAAGAATGAATGACCAGCTCCAAGAGCTGAGCAGCGAGGAAGCGATGCGGCTTGGGGAGGCCTCACAGAACATCGAGGGATAGGCGAAGAAAAAAGAGACGAAGAACACTAAGTCGCGTGCGCAGTCCTCTGTCGATCCCGCGGTCGCTTCCTGGGCCTTGACGTACGCCTCAGAGACTTGGACTCTACGAAAGCAGGATGAGCATGCGGTCGGCGTTATTCAACGCGCCATCGAAAGGGCGATGCTCGGAGTTTCCCGCTACACGCAAGTGAGAGAGGGAATCCGGAGCTTCCGCACTCCTCCAACGATCGAAGATCAGAGAGGCGAACGGCAGGGGGAGTGGCAGGTGAGGGGGACGAGCGACGAGAGGCGGCAGGACGGCGAGGGGGACCAGGGAGTGGTGGAGGAGCCGAATGGGAGGAGGACGGCGGCATGGGGGGAGAGCCACGCGACCGTCAGAGGCGCGCCCTCGACCAAGAGGTACCGACCACGCCGCCGCATTCTGCCAAGGTTTCGAAGATCAGGTGGGCCGGACACGTCATGCGTTTCGAGGACGACCGCTGGACCAGAGCAGTCACCGACTGGATTCCACGGGATGTCAAGCGAACGCGAACGCCTGGACGACCGCCTACGCGATGGTCAGACTTCTTCGTGAAAGCTCTGAACGAATGGTATGAAGTTCATCGTGTCCCTCGAGCTGAGAGAGTTCATTGGGCAACTCTTGCACGTTGCAGGGACGAATGGAGACGTTACTGGCGCCCGCTCGAGGAACTCGATGATCAACGGGAGCACAGGTGACAGGTGATACAGGTGTTATATGCCAGCAAAGCCACCTCTAGCTCAATAATGGTTTCTCTGCATCATTTAATGCGAATATCAGTAAACAAAGAAAAAAAAACGAAAAACGCGGTGTAAAAACTGAACTTGTGACAGGAAAAAGCCATTGGGTGGGCGGGACAACTGGGGAGGCGTCAGAAAGGCCCAGAGGGACAAGCCCTCGTCACTTCAGTGAAGCCCCGAAAGTGGGATAATCATGGAGATTGTGGACCAGAACTTTTGTACAAGGAGGGATGCCTACGAGTTGCTTGAGCTGGGGGGGGGGTGCATTTGAGGTCTTTTACCTGAACCCAGAAGGAGTATGAAATTGACCCAGATGGGCGTTCTTCCAGTGCTTGCCTACTTACGCTTCGGAGAACAACCTCTAGACCACTGAAGACCTCCAACATGTTGTCGTTCCCTCAATAGCGTATTCAAGAATATCTTGTATTAGCAGTAGTCTTTTGAAATATAAATAAAAATAAAATAAATAAGACGAAAAGAATAAATATGGTGGAGAGCAACTTTCCTTTCAAGTCCTTGAAGAAGCCCTACGTTTTATAGTTCGACGAGTCTGAGGAGTATGCGGAGTGTGAGAACTGTAAGATCGCTTTCAATCCGCAAACCATGAATTTTCGCTCGTATCGTGGTCGTCCGTACCTTAGATGTTTGCAGGTAAGTCAGCCGGGGCATTCCTCCAAAACTGCGTCTATAACTCGGTCTTATACTTATACATTCAGTTAAAAGCTGTCGAAGACACTATTCTTCCCAAGGTTCACGTTCCTCGTATCAACAAAGAAGTCGTAGAGGTAAGATGGACGAGAGGGAAAGAAAAGGACCTAATTTTTTTAACAAATTATTTTTTTCAGATTTGTGAAAAAGCTCGTGACTCTCGTTATGCCGGTTGGGAACACGAACCAGTTGGATAGAGCTTGCCGGAGTTGGAAGGGCGGTGATGTTGGCAACTACCACGATGTTGGAATTACTGTAAGAATTAGCATTCTTCCTGATTTCTGAAGTCTCTGTCAGCCCCACAGTGATTCTTTCTCGAACGTACCAAATTTTCTGCAACCTGGGAGCTTTCCTGAGTGCTGTGGCTCT